GGAGGGCCGTGGGAGGGCCACATTACACAGAACAGGGATGGCTCTTGAAGGGCCGTATTAAACCGACCCCCGGGCCGTAAATGGCCCGCGGGCCGGACTTTGGACATGCCTGACTTATCTAATGCCGGGAAAGCTTCGGCATGAACAGATTTACCAGTGTGCCCGAACCATCCTAGGACAGCCTGCTTCACTATGTCATTAGTGCCATTTGTCCCAGAAAAGACTTGCCATCAATTCCCCCACTATAATTTACGGCGCTGAGCAAACCTTTTGGGGCTATATAAATACTGTATAATAATGATAATAATAATTTAGCTGCAGACGCAATTGTTGGAAATTTTTTGGTGGTGGCGAGTTTGCATGCTTCCACTGCTTTGATGCTCATCTTGATTCTAGAGTGAAATGATGTGCCCAGGTTTTGTCACATGTATTGGTGCGATCCAGAAAATCCTGGCCTTCTCTGCCAAATCGCTCCTTCAACACAGAGCAGACTTCAACTCTTCTGTGCTGGTCAAAAGCGAAAAGCTGTCTTGGTACCCATCGTGCGCTAACGTCTCAAAAATGCAAATGTTTGTAAATGATTGTGTTCACCGTTCCCTTAGAAGATTAGTCTCTTGTGCAATTTCAAGAGGTTATGCATCGATTATCCAGGATCAGGCGATCTATGCACTGCAGCATGTTCACAGGAATGAGTGCTGTGCGTTGGGAACCACCACAGCCAGGATTGTCACTGATGGATGTATGGATGTTTTTGAAACGTTTACACTATTCAAATGTCTTACTGCGGCTGAGCATCTCATCACCGTACTGTGCTTGAAGTCTTCTGTAGATATCCGCGGGTTTTACGCCTTAGTTCACAAGAAACTTCATCACCATATGCTGTTCCATACAAGCACTAACATAGTCTGCCATCTTGATTAATGGTCTCTGGACTGGCCCGCAACTTGTGCGCCGCCTATCAGTAATAGGACACAAAAGTAAATCAAAAATGCAGCTCATAATGTATGCAAATACTACAAATATATCTAAACAGTGACAATCCTATGTTAATAATCCATGAATCTACTGAATGTGCACTTATAAACCTAAACAGTGATGGTGTAACATAAACAATACTCCACAGTGTTTGTGAACACTTGATGAAAAAACATAATGCAAAGTTTCATATATTCCACACTGGCCATATGTGGACAAATATATATCCAGTTATATCCACAGTGCTTGTGATACCTAATATAAATAAAGAAGGCGTGCGTCCGACCGGAAGTGCGTCACCGCCAAAGCGTATCATCACGCTTAACACGTGACTTCATCAGGGCAAACATTTGCCCTGCCCTGTGAGCCTGTGCTTGAATCTGTACATGAGGGGAGGTCAGTGTAGAGAGCTGTGGAGGATTACCTACTATTAAGGGTCCATGTGTTAGTGATCCTGAAGGCCTTTTGACCCTGTGCAGGTCGCAAGAGGGAGGTGAGCGGGGAATTCAGCCATTTTCAGATATCTCTGCACATTTATCAACACACATTTTTTTTTTTTTTTTTTTTTTTTTTTTCTTCAAGAATTGCTGTGGACTTTATATATTTTTTTTGTATATTTGTCAGGTGTTTTACACTTCACGGGACTTTATATATTTATTCATTTATTCATGTTTGTTTGCATGATCAGTTCTTAGTTTATGCGTTTATTGGGATGCACGTGTGTTTTTGTGTTATATGGTGGAACTGATTTTTAGTTCTGGTGGGAAGTTTTTTAGCGCATTGAGTCCTGTTGTGACTTGTTTGTTTTGGAGCACTATTTGATCCCATTGGATTACTTGGGGCACCATTTATGTTATTTGGTCCTTTTAGGACCTCGTATTGACACTTGTCACACGTGATTATTTATGAGTTTTTTGGCACTATTTAATATTGTGTGTTTATGTTATTTGTGTCACCAATTTTGCACTGTTTCACTTATTCATTTATGTGTGAAGAATTTTTATGGTAGTAGCGCTGCATCATTTGTGTTTTATTTATATATTTTTGTCTATGGGTATATGACTGTATGTAGCAGCTTTACCTTTGTTGGTAGGTATTAGTTTTTAAGTAGGAGCGCAGGAGTTTGTCACATTGATTCAAATATAAATAACCCAAACACATAAATCTACCGAATATAAATTCAATAAAAAAAAAAAAAATAAAATGTCCCAAAACTTATAGATGTCCTAAAAATTATAGTTCCAAATATGTGTAAATATCTGTGTAAATATTTCCAAATTGACTTGTAGATAATCCAGTGTAGACTTTTCAAAATCCTCTTGGACCTCAAAAACAAAAAAAAACTTAAGATAGTGTATTACCCGTTAACTTCATACAAAATGAAACCGTGACAGCAAGTGTATCATGCAAGCTGCATAACGTGCACACTTCACACGTGAAAATGAGACGGAAAAAAAAAAATATATATATATATATTTCTAATAAATTTTATATAACTCAAATTAATATTATATAGTGAAAATAGCAATACCCAAAATGATGAACACACGTGATAACCTCCACATACTGGAGACTGATAGTGAGCACTTCAAACACATAACCGTGAAATATCAAGTGATCTCCAACTGGTGAAAAATGGATAATTACCCTTATACATAAATGTCAGGGTTTATACAAATGGATAGTGGCACTCTCCAAAAAACTTCCTACTCCTCCTGTTCCCACTCTTCCATATCCTCTTAGAGTAAAGGGGAGATAATCAGCGGTATGTAATAAAATTATACACCTTTAATACAATTTCTTACATTAAAATTTAAGAAATTTAGCTTCCAATGCTCAGAACAATACAGGTGTAGTCCTTGGTATGGAAAACCAGCATGTTCCCACTCTCAAAATGGCCACAACCGCACTTTTCCGGTTTCCGTGATTGCGTCAGAGACGTCCCTTTACAATTGTGGCTAGCAATTTTGCATTGTTGTGACTAGACTGTTTTTTTCATGAATGTCTATGAGACATGAGTTTGCATGAAAGTCTATGAGACCCCATTTTGCATTGAAATCACAAGAGGGAATTTTTGCATGAATGTCTATGAGACGCCATTTTGCATTGAGTTCACTAGAGGGCGTTTTTGCATGAATGTCTATGACACGCCATTTGGCTTAGAAGTCACTAGAGGGCGTTTTTGCATGAATGTCTATGAGACACGACTTTGCATGTTCACTAAGGGCGGTTTTCTATGTCTAGACGCCATTTGGCATTGAAGTCGCTACAGGGCGTTTTTGCATGAATGTCTATGCGACGTCATTTTGCATTGAAATCACTAGAGGGCGATCTTTTATGAATGTTTGAGACGCCATTTTGCATTGAAGTCACTAGAAGGCAACTTTTCATGAATGTGTATGAGATGACTTAGCAAGAATGTCTATGAGACTCGATTTTTGCATGAATACCTATGAGACGCCATTTGGCATTGAAGTCTCTAGAGGGTGTTTTTGCTTTAATGTCTGAGAAGCCATTTGGTATTGAAGTCCCTAGAGAGCGTTTTTGCATGAATATCTATGAGACGCCATATTGCATTGAAGTCACTATAGGGCGTTTTTGCATGAATGTGTATGAGATGCCATTTTGCATTGAAGTCACTAGAGGGCGTTTTTTGCATGAATATCTATGACAGGGGTGGGCAACTGTGGCCCTCCAGCTGTTGGTGAACTACAAGTCCTATCATGCCTCTGCCTTTTGGAGTCATGCTTGTAACTGTCAGTTTTGCAATGCCTCATGGGAACTGTAGTTCTACAACAGCTGGAGGGCCACAGTTGCCCACCCCTGGTCTATGAGACGCCATTTGGCATTAAAGACATTAGAGGGTGTTTTTGCATGAATCTGTATGAGACGTAACAAGTAAGTCTATGAGACGCCATTTGCATTGAAGTCACTAGAGGGTTTTTTTTTTGCGTGAATGTCTTTGAGATGCTATTTTTCATTGAAGTCACTAGAGCGCATTTTTGCATGAATGTGTATGAGACGTAACAAGTAAGTCTATGAGACGCCATATTGCATTGAAGTCACTAGAGGGCGTTTTTTGCACGAATGTCTTTGAGAAGCCATTTGGCATTGAAGTCAGTAGAGGGCATTTTTGCATGAATGTCTATGTACGCCATTTGGCATTGATTTCACTAAAGGGTGTTTTTTGCATAAATGCCTATGAGACGCCATTTTGCATTGAAGTCATCAGAGGGCGTTTTTGCATGAATGTGTATGAAATGCCATTTGCATTGAAGTCACTAAAGGGCGATGTTACGTGAATGTCTATGAGACCCTATTTTTCATTAAATTCACTAAAGGGCTTTTTTGCATAAATGTTTATGAGACGCCATTTTGCATTGAAGTCACTAGAGGATGTTTTTGCTTTAATGTCTATGAGACACCATTTGGCATTGAATTCACTAAAGGGCATTTTTGCATAAATGCCTATAAGACGCCATTTTGCATTGCATTCACTAGAGGGTGTTTTTGCATGAATGTCTATGAGAAGGCCATTTTGCATTGAAGTCACTAGAGAGTGTTTTTGCATGAATGTCTTTGAGAAGACATTAAGTCCCTAGTAAGGGTTTTTTCTGAGACGCCATTTTGTATTGAAGTCACTAGAGGGCGTTTTTGCATGAATGTGTATGAGAAGCTATTTTGCATTGAAGTCACTAGAGGGTGTTTTTGCATGAATGTCTATGAGACACCATTTTGTATTGAAGTCACTAGAGAGCATTTTTGCATGAATGTCTGAGACGCCATTTGGTATTGAAGTCTCTCCAGGGCTTTTTTTGCTTTAACCGCCTCTCGCCTGCCATATAGTAATATGACGGACGCAAGACGGTTCTCTCATTCTGGGAAGACGTCATATGACGTCCTCCCATTCTCACCGCGCATGCATGGCTCCGGGAGCACGCAGCACGGTGATCGGCGGTGTGCTGTGTCCCTCGGACACAGCGGATCACCGATCTACGGAAAGAGCCGAAGATGTCGGCTCGGTCATGTGATCAGCTGTGTCCAATCACAGCTGATCACATGTAAACAGGGAAATGCCGGGTATCGGCATTTCTCTCCTCATGAGCTGTCATGCTGACAGCTCGAGAGGAGACCCGGTAATCGGTATCCCTCGGAGGGGACATCTACACAGATCATCAGAGCACTGATGATCAGTGTACCCTGATGATTTTTGTAGCCCCAGCAGCGCCACCCATCAGTGTCCATCAGTGCCAGCTCTGTGCTCATCCATGCCACCTGTCAGTGCCACATCAATGCCACATATCAGTGCCCATCTGAGCTGCCTTTTAGTGTCACCCATCAGTGTGCACCTATCAGTGCTGCCTATCAGTGCCACCTGTCAGTGCCATATATGAGTGCTGCTTTTCAGTGCCCATCAGTTATGCCTGTCAATGCCCATCAGTGCCACCTACCAGTGCCTCTTCATCAGTGCCACCTATCAGTGTCCATCAGTGCAGCCTATCAGTGCCCATCAGTGCAGCCTCATTAGCGCACATCAGTGAAGGAGAAAAATCACTTATTTACAAAATTTTATAACAAAAACTAAAAAGTATTTTTTTTTTTAATTTTAAGTGGTTTTTGGTTTAAAAAAAAAAATAAAAAACCCAGAGCTGATTAAATACCACCAAAATAAAGCTCTGTCACAAAAAATTATAAAAATTTCATATGGTACAGTGTTGCATGACCGCGCAATTGTCATTCAAAGTGCAACAGCGCTGAAAGCTGGAAATTGGCCTGGGCAGGAAGGGGGTATAAGTGCCCTGTAGGCTAGTGGTTAATGTCTATGAGACGCCATTTGGCATTGAAGCCACTAGAGAGCGTTTTTGCTTGAATGTGTATGAGACACGACATGAAAGTCTATGAGACTCCATTTTGCATTGAATTCACTAAAGGGCGTTTTTTTACATGAATGTGTATGAGAACGCCTTTTGCATTGAAGTCACTAGAGGGCTTTTTTGCATGAATGTCTATGAGTAGGCCATTTTGGCTTTGAAGTCACTAGAGGGCGTTTTTGCTTGAATGTCTTTGAGAAGCCATTTGGCATTAGAGGGAAGTGACTAGAGGGCGTTTTTGTATGAATGTGTATGAGAACGCCATTTGGCATTGAAGTTCACTGGAGGGCGTTTTGCATGAAAGTTAATGTGTATTGAGACATGACGTTTTTGTAAGTCTATGAGACGCCATATTGCATTGAAGTCACTAGAGGGCGTTTTTAAATGAATGTCTATGAGAAGGCATTTTGCATTGAAGTCACTAGAGGGCAATTTTGCATGAATGTCTATGAGACACCATTTTGCATTGAATTCATTAGAGGGCGTTTTTGCATGAATGTCTTTGAGAAACCATTTCGCATTGAATTCACTAGAGGGCGTTTTTGCATGAATGTCTATGTATGCCATTTGGCATTTTAGTCACTAGAGGGCGTTTTTTGCATGAATGTCTATGAGACGCCATTTTGCATTGACGTCACTAGAGGGCTTTTTTTGCGTGAATGTCCTTGAGATGCCATATTGCATTGAAGTCACTAGAGGGCGATGTTGCGTGAATGTCTATGAGAGGTCATTTTGCATTGAATTCACTAAAGGGCATTTTTGCATAAATGCTAATGAGACGCCATATTGCATTGAAGTCACTAGAGGATGTTTTTGCATGAATGTGTATGAGGTGTTTTGCATGAAGTCTATGAAAGCCATTTTGCATTGAAGTCAGTAGAGGGTGTTTTTGCATGAATGTCTATGATAAGCCATTTTGCATTGAAGTCAGAGGGTGTTTTTGCATGAATGTCTTTGAGATGCCATTTTGCATTGAATTCACTAAAGGCCATTTTTGCATAAATGCCTATGAGAAGGCATTTTGCATTGAAGTTACTAGAGGGCGTTTTTGCTTTAATGTCTATGAGATGCCATATTGCATTGAAGTCAATAGAGGGCGTTTGTCATGTACTCGCTAACGGTAGCTCTATGGATCCACAGTCTGGGATTCCCCAGTGCAGAGTCTAAGCCCCAGTCTGCTTGTTCACCAGTGCCCCTAATGGTGGGGATGGACTTGGAGCAGGCTGAGACCAGGTCGTGGCCCCCGGGTACACCCACGATAGTAGAGGACCGTCAGCAGGACGTAGCTGGATAAGAGCCTGATGTGAAGAGGCAGGGCAGATTTGAGCGGAAAAAGGATGGATCCGTGCAGGATGGATGGATGCGAACACACCGTGAAGCAAGTAGCGGAGTCAGACAGGCCGGGTCAGTAACTGTGGAAGCAGAATGGAACAGAGCAGCAGGCAGAGGATAGTCGGGTCACAGGCCAAGTTCAGCAACAGGAGGCCAGACTATCAGGAGCAGGCAGAAGAGACTGGTCAAAGGCAAGCCAGGGGTCAGGGCAGGAGACGGTCAGCAGTAATCAGGATCAGGCTGGGTTCGGCAACAAGGTACACTCACAGGATCAGAACACAAGCAGAGGATCAAGACCATACGGCAACTTGGACATTGCAATGGCCAGTTTTTTTTTAGCCCGCCCGAGTCCGACAGGCGCACCTGGGTCCTAGTGCCCGCCTGCCTGTATGTCTTGTTGGGATCCTACGCATGTGCAGATTCGTGCGCGATCTAGGTCCACGGGACGGCTCGGAGAGGTTCTTGTTCCCTGACAGCGTTTTGGCATGAATGTCTATGAGAAGCCATTTGGCATTGATTTTGTCACTTATGGGACTTTTTGCATGAACACTATGAGATGCCATATTGCACTGAAGTCACTAGAGGGTATTTTTGCATGAATGTCTATGAGACACCATTTTGCATTTAAGTCACTAGAGGGCGTTTTTGCATGAATGTCTATGAGCCACCATTTTGCATTTAAGTCACTAGAGGGAGTTTTTTGCGTGAATGTCTTTGAGATGCCATTTTGCATTTAATTCACTAGAGGGCGTTTTTGCATGAATGTCTTTGAGAAGCCATTTGGCATTCAATTCACTAAAGGGCGTTTTTGCATAAATGCCTATGAGACGCCATTTTGCATTGAAGTCATTAGAGGGCATTTTTGCATAAATGTTTATGAGACGTAACAAGTAAGTCTATGAGACACCATATTGCATTGAAGTCTCTAGAGGGCGTATTTGCATAAATGTCTATGAGAAGCCATTTTGCTTTGAAGACACTAGAGGGCATTTTTGCATGAATGTGTATGAGATGCCATTTTGCATTGAAGTCACTAGAGGGCGTTTTTTTTTACATGAATGTCTATGAGACACCATTTTGCATTGAATTCACTAGAGGGCGATTTTTGTGAATGTCTATGAGACCCCATTTTGCATTGAATTCACTACAGGGTGTTTTTGCATGAATGTCTTTGAGAAGCCATTTTGCTTTGAAGTCACTAGAGAGCTTTTTGCATGAATGTCTTTGAGAAGCCATTTGGCATTGAAGTTACTGGAGGGCGTTTTTTGAATTAATGTGTATGAGACATGACAAGTAAGTCTATGAGACGCCATATTGCATTGAAGTCACTAGAGAGCATTTTTAAATGAATGTCTATGAGAAGGCATTTTGTATTGAAGTCACTAGAGGGCGATGTGGCATGAATGTCCATAAGACGCCATTTGGCATTGAAGTCACTAGAGGGCGTTTTTGCATGAATGTCCATAAGACGCCATTTGGCATTGAAGCCACTAGAGGGCGTTTTTGCATGAATGTGTATAATATGCGACATGAAAGTCTGAGATCCCATTTGGCTTTGAATTCACTAAATGGCGTTTTTGCATAAATGCCTATGAGATGCCATTTTGCATTGAAGTCATTAGAGGGCTTTTTTGCTTAATGTGTATGAGACTCAACAAGTAAGTTTATGAGACCCCATTTGGCATTGAGGTCACTAGACGGCGTTATTGCATGAGTTTCTGAGAAGCCATTTTGCATTGAATGCACTAGAGGACGATTTTGCGTGAATGTCTGAGACGCCATTTTGCATTGAAATCACTAGGGGGCATTTTTGTGTGAATGTCTATGAGACGCCATTTTGCATTAAATGCTCTAGAGGGCGATTATGCATGAATATCTATGAGACGCCATTTGGCATTGAAGTCACTAGAGGGCATTTTTGCATGAATGTGTATGAGACGTAACAAGTAAGTCTATGAGACGCCATATTGCATTGAAGTCACTAGAGGGCATTTTTGCATGAATGTCTGTGAGACGCCATTTTGCATCAAAGTCACTAGAGGGCGGTTTTTCATGAATATTTATGAGACGCCATTTGGCATTGAAGTCACTAGAGGGCGTTTCTGCATTAATCTCTGAGACGCCAGTTTGCTTTGATGTCACTAGAGGGCGTTTTTTTGCATGAATGTGTATGAGACGCGACTTTGCAAGAAAGTCTATGAAACGCCATTTTGCATTGAATTCATTAGAGGGCGTTTTTGTATGAATGTCTATGAGATGCCATTTTGCATTGACGTCACTAGAGGGTAATTTTTGCGTGAATGTCTATGAGAAGCCATTTGGCACTGAATTCACTAGAGGGGTTTTTTGCATGAATGTCTATGAGACGCCACTTGGCATTGAAGTCCCTAGTGGGCTTTTTTGCATAAATGTCTATGAGACGCCATTTGGCTTTGAAGTCCCTAGAGGGCGATTTTGCGTGAATGTCTATGAAATGCCATTTGGCAATGAAGTCACTAGAGAGTGTTTTTGCGTGAATGTCTGAGACGCCATTTTGCATTTATTTCACTAGAGGGCGATTTTTGCATGAATGTCTATGAGAATGCCATTTGGCATTGATGTCACTAGAGGGCATTTTTGCGTAATTTTCTGAGACGCCATTTTGCATTGATGTAACTAGAGGGTGATTTTTTTGCATGAATGTCTTTGAGACGCCATTTGGCATTGTAGTCAGTAGAGGGCATTTTTGCATGAATGTCTATGAGACGCCATTTTGCACTGAAGTCACACCGAGGGCAACTTTGCATAAATATCTATGAGACACGTTAACGTTGTCTATGAGACGCATTAACGTTTGAGACCTGATTTTGAATGAATGTCTATGAGACACCATTTTGCACTGAAGTCACTAGAGGGCGTTTTTGCATGAATGTCTATGAGACGCGTCTTTGCATGAAAGTCTACGAGATGCAATTTTGCATTGAATTCACTAGAGGGTGACTTGTCTATGAGACTATGCATGTATCTGCACCTTTATTATCTGCAAAATGTAGATAACACTATTTTCACCCGATATGTTTAGGCCACTGATATAACGGTGCATCCCTACTTTTTATACGTGAAAAATTTAAAGTCCTGATATGACTTGAACGTCCTCATAATATCTGTAAATATAAGCTGATATTCCAAGTCTTGTCAGTCACGGGTAATTAAAACAGTATGATACCAAAATAAAAAAATCCGGGTGACTGTAGATTGTTTTTAAGGGTTATGTTTCAGTAGCATTTTTTTCTGACAACAATTATGAGTTATGTAATTTTTTTCTTTGTGTTGTATTACACTTGTAAAGCATTGTACACTGTTTATACTTACTTTACATGTTATTTTCTTTTTTTTGGTAACAGTTTTTGAAATCAGTCTCCAGAGATGGAATGTGACAATCCATTCACATTTGGTTTATGTAACGGCAGTCTCTCTGCATGGAATGGTGAACAACATTCTAATGGAATAGCCCACAAAAGGAAAAGGAATGAAAATGGCTATTTAGGTGATAAGAGTGGCGAGAACGATGACTATAAAGCTCCACCTAGGTTAAGAGGTAGGTCAGAAATTATCCTAATTTATTTTGTAGTATTCACATTCAGCCTTTCACATTCCTTCAGCACACAGCTTTAGGATCCCATGCAGTCCTGCCTTTCTACCTCTAGATTTTGGCACCATCTTGGGTCTATTCTTGGTAACTAAAATATACTTTAGAAAAGATACATATGCAGCACTCTGCATATGCTGCTCTCTCAAATGTTTTAACCTCTGTTTGGGCTTAATTGTAGAAGTAAGCCCAATAGGGGGTGAAACACTTTGTAGGGAGATGCCTAAACAGGTGTACTGACTTTTTTAGAAAAAGGAACTAGTAAATGGAGGAAAAAGGAATATCGCATATATATCTTTTCTGTTGTATTTCATAATTCTATGCTAGCCTTTTTTTTATTAGGTTAAAAATGTTTTTTTTTTTTTAATTGCAATAAAAAAAATTTTAAATTACAATAATCATTTTAAGTAGAATACCATGATGCCCAAAACTGCGCAAATATTGGTAGTCCGTCCTAAACACAATTATTCTGGCTTACCAGACTAATCTTACTCTGGACCCCAAGCGCTGTATTTGGGGCATAATCGATGATATGATGACTGATTAGTTTATTAGGGAGGTGGTATCTAGAGAACTGTTTTGGGCTCACAAACTATTGTTGCTACATTAGAAAAGTATTTCCCCTCCTACCCTTATAGAATGGGTGGAGCATGTGGGCATAGGGGCTGCATGGTTAAATTTGACAGGGTTTGGGGTGGCTGGCTGAAAATTCCTGGCCTTGCCTGACTGACCTTGTTATGGATAGATGATTGATATTCTTATACGTCTAACTCGCCATGGGAATTCTTTTTTTCTATATTGCCAAAAGTATTGGGATGCCTGCCTATACACGCAGATGAACTTTAATGGCATCCCAGTCTTAATCCATAGGGTTCAATATTGAGTTGGCCCACCCTTTGCAGCTATAACAGCTTCAACTCTTCTGGGAAGGCTTTCACAAGGTTTAGGGGTTTAGGAGTGTGTCTATGGGAATGTTTGACCATTCCTACAGAAGCGCATTTGTGAGGTCAGGTACTGATGTCGCACGAGAAGGCCTGGTTCGCAGTCTCCGCTCTAAATTTAGTAGCAAGGAAATGTCACGGATGGACTTATTGCACAGGTGGCAACCTATCACGGTACCACGCTTGAATTCACTGTGCTCTGAGAGCGACCCATTATTTCACAAATGTTTGTAGAAGCAGTCTGCATGCTCAGGTGCTTGATTTTATACACCTGTGGCCATGGAGGTGATTGGACACCTGAATCCAATGATTTGGAGGGGGTGTCTCAATACTTTGGCAATATAGTGTATACTGTGTGTGCGCAATGCAATATGTCACATTTGTGTCCTGGCGCAGTTTCAATACCATATTACATGCATGCTCTAGAATGCATGGTTTATTTTTGTAACCTTTACAATTGTTCCATCAGACCTTTTTCTTACAAAAAAGGTACCATGTATCTTTTTAATGAATTGGAACTGGAAGGCTCCCAAAACGTCTCACATGTGGTATCCCCATACTCACTAGAAGTAGCAGAATGTATTTTGGGGTGTAATTCCACTTATACCCATTGCTTGCGCGAGAAATAAATCATTTAAATGACAACTTTGTGTAAAAAAAAAAATGTATGTCATTCCAGAAACTTGTGGAAAAAAAATAAATCTTCCATGGACTCGATATGCCTCTCAGCAGATAGCTTAGGGTGTCTACTTTCCGAAAAGGGGTCATTTGGGGGGTGTTTGCACTGTCCTGGTATTTTAGCACCTCAAGAAATGTGATAAGCAGTCAGAAAGTAAAAGCTGTGTAAATTCCATTTTCTATACCATAGTTTGTAGATATTATAACTTTCACATAAACCAATTAATATGCAGTTACTGGGATTTCTTTTACAAAGACATGCATTTTTTTCAACATTTTTGGTCTTTTTTTGTTCATAGCGCAAAAAAAAAAAAACCAAGGTGATCAAATACCACCAAAAGAAAGCTCTATTTTTTTTAACCAAAAACATGTAGCAGAATACATTTTGGCCTAAATTTATAACGAAATTTTAGTTTTTTTGCATATTTTTTATGACCAAAATGAGAAAATATTGTTTTCTTCAAAACTTTTTTTGTTTATAGTGCCAAAAATAAAAGCGCACAGGTGATCAAATACCATTAAAGAAAGCTCTATTTGTGTGAAAAAAGGACATCAATTTCATTTCTGTACCGTATTGCATGACCGTGCAATTGTCCATTAAACTAGTGCAGCGCTGTATAGCAAAAAATGGCGTAAATTGCAGTATCTATACCATAGTTTGTAGACGCTATAACTTTCACACAAAGCAATCAATATACACTTATTAGGATTTTTTTTTACCAAAAAACATGTAGCAGAATACATTTTGACCTAAATTTATAACTAACTTTGAGTTTACTATATTTTTTTTATAGCTGAAAGTAAAAAAATATTGTTTTTCTTCAAAATTTTCTTTTGTTTATAGCGCGAAAAATAAAAAGCGCACAGGTGATCAAATACCACCAAAAGAAAGCTCTATTTGTGTGAAAAAAGGACGTAAATTTCGTTTGGGTACAGCATTGCATGACTGCGCAGTTATCAATTGAATTAATGACCAGGACTCTTTTTGCTACTCGGCGCTGCACTAAGAGGGGTAAATCCTCTAGAGGGAAAGTGGTTGAAAGGGAAGATTTGTATTGGAATTGTATTTATAGCCAACATTTTTTTTATTTGGGTATTTAAAAGCACTGTTAGGAAATTAAAGGAAATCTCCTGTCTCAGAAACACACAAGGAAGTGAAAGGTAAAGGTGAGAATAAAAGTAAAATTAAATTTGTCATCTTAGGCTCATCTTAAGTTCACAGTAGCCTGTGAAGGTGAGTGAAGAGCAGGCTCCAACAAGGAGCAATGTGTTGCGTGTTTTAGGATATTACGCTGCTTGTTTTTAATTTTACTTTTTTTTTTTCAACTAAATTTGAAGTGTCAAATAGTGATTCTTCATTCTTGTCACTGCACAGCTGGATGGTGCTTTACGCTGCTATGCAATGCATTGTGAAGTTCCACTTTAAACAGTTTAAACTTTTTTGTTTATAAGAAAGTTTGGTATGTGTTTCTTCCACATATCTCTGAGCCTATCTTTACATGAAGCACACTTCTTTTTAAGAGACTGGAACCTGTCAGGGGCTTTGGTCTGTAACAGCAAGAAAAACAACATACAAGTCAAAAGAATAAAGACACTACTAGAGCCAAACCACAGTTCACCACTGCAAACCCCTCCAAAGCTAAAGGAAAGGTGCAAAGACACATTCACATTCTAGTACTCGGGCAGGCCTTGCTGGTACTAGAGGCGTTCATTGCTGACACTGCTGACGTTCCTTCACCTCCCTCCATCAGTGGAAGAAACATGGTTTTCGCTGACTCAAAACATACTCCAGCATCAATTATTTCTTTATTTCTCATAGGGATCTTTTATTAATTAGAGAGCCATCTTTCATAAATATTCTCTCAGACCAGGCCCCTATCAGTCTATTTTTTGCCCACTTTAAACCCCTATTAACAGGGTTATACTGCTCAATTCATTCTTTTGTTGTCCAGAATGTAGGAAACTGAGGTGAAGCATAAACCGTCACAAGCACACCTAGTCATTCGTGAACTCCATTCTCTTTGTACAACCTAAACTCCCTGCTATTTACTAGACCACAGGTCTCCAAACTGCGCCGCCAGATGTGGCCCTTTTACTTGCCTTTATCCGGCCCTTGGGACACTATTCCTTCCGCTGATACGAGGCAATATTCCTTCCACTCACACCAAAGATGGGGCACTATTCCTCCCACTGACGCAAGAGATTAGGAATTAATTCTCCCACTGACACCGATGATAGTGTACTATTCTTCATCACTCACACCAAAGGTTTAATTTTTTTACTCCCACTGACTGCCAAGCCTATGGTAATGTTTACTCCCAGCAATGCCAGGGCATTTTCTACTCCCACTGGCTACAGTCCAGCCCCCTTAAAGTGTGAAGGGTAGGGCCTTCTTTGAATTGTGTAACATCCCAGTAAACTGCTAACTAGAGCCCTTCGGGCTTATACCTCTGATCCTACTTAATTAACATTCTTTCACCCAGTGGTACCAAACTTACTAAATACTAATCAGACATAGTAGAATTTTCTAATTTCTAGTCATATAACCTTCTCTCAACTGTCCAGATTCTCTATTGGCCCCTGACTGTTTGAAAAAAATTTTTACAAACCCTGACATCCCTTATATCTGTCCGGAAGACAGAGAAAGTCTAGAGACCCATATTTCTGAGGAAGAATTCCAATTTTCAGGCTTGCCCTATCTTCATCCAATCCAGGAAAGCCACTGACCTAGACTGTTTCTTACTACTGATACTTACTACAAGCTTTCAACTCTATCTTACAAGATTACCGTATACTAACTGACATCTCAAGAGCCCTAGCTAATTGTCTTCCCTTTATTACTAAATTTGATACCACCACTTGTACATTCTACAGGTATGGAGAAAGCATTCAACAAGGTAGAATGATGATTTCTAGAACTCACTCTACAGCATATTGGTATGGGGTTATCATGATATAGATCACGGCTCTGTACTCTGACTCAGTGGCAGCAGTATGAGTTACACTGGAACCATTTCTCTGTTCTATATGTAGCATTACTAAAATCAAGACACCACAAGATTGTGGCATATGACAATTACCTGTTCCAATATCCTTCAGGATGATATAAAAGCCTTTGTAACTTAGTCCCTAAATAATAGGATTATTTGGAATTTGTTTCCCCACACCACTCTGCCCTTTCAGAAATTCAAGCTCACTTTCCATTTAGGTGGGCCCAAAACAAAATTAAGTGCCTGGGCACCATTCTAATGTTTAATTTAATTCTACCATTTTGCCAATTTTGTCTCCTTATTACCAAAATTAAAGCGGACCTAACCATTTGGAGAAAATTAACCCTGAATTGGTTTGGCAGTTGCGATGCTCCAAAAGTTACTTTATTTCCACATATTTAATATCTTCAAGCACTCCTTGTTAAATTCCCTTCTTTTTTTCCACACAAATCTGCATCAAGTTTACAGGGGTGGCCTGCCACAACTACACTCTCAACTTACCTGGTCTAAACTAGGTATGACTGTCCTGATGTTTAGAAAATTATTCTTTCCCACTTTACCCTTCACCCATGACTATGATCTTGGGGGACCCCATCTTTGCTATGTTATAACTCAGGGGTGTCCAAGCTTTTGACTTTCCTGGGCCACATTGGATGAAGAGGAATTGTTTTGAGCCACACAAAAAATACACTAACAATAATAATAGTTGATGAACAGAAAAAGTCAAGCAGGTCACAAGTTAACGATCATTGATATAGATAATATACCTATCTCAGTAATTAAAATTTTTTTTTATTGTAAATGTAAAAGAGGGCAACATAAAACTAGTATGATATTTGACACTGTTCTTGATAAACTAACGCAAATATATCCAGATTAGATGGATATAGTAGAAATTCTCAATTAATTCTCAAGGTGCTCATCAGATATTTTGGTTCTAATTTTGCCCTTCATGCACTTCATCCTTGAAAATTAGTTTCTCACAGGTATAGATGCTGCTGAAAACTGATGACATGAATAAGGCGTGTTTGTGAAGAATGGGATATTGTTTTTTGGGAAGATAAAACTTATAAAAGTCCAGTAAAGAGACTGTCAAATTTTTCTATGGTTGCATGTGTTCACTAAGTGTAAAAAAAAAAAAAATCAATATTTTTAAGTTTGTGGGTCGCAGGTTGGATACCCCTGTTTTAACACGTGAAAAGTTCAGGGCCATGGACTTTCTAAAAATTCAGGTTGGCTCTCCCAGGCCTAATGGTACAAGTCCAGTGAGACACACCTTACCTCTCTAATACAAGGAACTTATAGCTCCCCTGAATGACTTTACCCCCTGTACATAAAAAAAAAAAATGTGAATTCACCCTCTCAATGATATTTACACCCATGCAGCCAAAACAATTGCTGAAATTTACACATAAATTGCATTAATTGCAAAAATTGCAGGCTATTTAAGGTTACCAAACTCCACACTATAGAGGAAATGATGGCAGATGATATTTCTAAGAATAAACACATTTGTAAAAAAGTTGGCTCTAATGGACCATGTTTACTTACTCTGAGTATCGCGTTCTAATGCATGATTCTCAAATACCAGAAATCTCATTGTTGATCCTCGGATGAATTGCTACATTTTTCCCCACAGGTCTTTACAATCAGTCACATATGTCCATTCTATCTCTACACTATACCCTTCCCCACCCCGCCACCCACACCCTTTTTTTTCTTTTTTTGAGCTTCTCTTTTTTGATTTTCCTATTTTACTTTTTTTTTTTATACCTTTACCAGTTTTATGTCCAGTTGGTCAGGTCTTCTAAGTACAATACAAACCAAAGAATATGACTGCGAGTCCAGGTACTCTGTGATTAGGCTACAAATGTATTTTAACAACCAGGATTGATCTTTTATTGAACAAAGAAGTGGTACAAAAAAGGTAACCGATATCAAAATAAGGTACAGCAACAATATTTTGCACAGCATAAAGCATAAGGTACATAGCAGACAGGTTACAATGCACAGCAAACCAATAGAACATTACAAATATAATAGGGGGGGGGACAAGAAGGAGAAGAAGAAACCCCCCGAGGGTAGCCTATGAATTCCAAGGGTATAGTCCCATCCTAATTGAGAAGGAAGCACTCAGCATTCCACCCACAGCTGCCAAATGGTTTCATATTTCCTAGGACAGTTCCTATAATTGTTGTTCTGGATCAACTGTGGGTACAGGATAACTTTTTTTTTTTTTTTCTTCATGATTGAACTGGATGGACTTTTGTCTTTTTTTTCAGCCAGAATAAACTATGTCAATTTGTACAGCGGTAAAACCACATTTATCAGAGTCCCAAGAGGATAATGAGTGGGGGGGGGGGAGGATTTTTTTTCTTAGTTTGTTATAAAATTTTGTAAATAAGTGATTTTTCTCCTTCACTGATGTGCGCTAATGAGGCTGCAGTGATGGGCACTGATAGGCTGCACTAATGGGCACTGATAGGCGGCACTGATGAGGAGGCACTGCTAGGTGGCACTGATGAGCATTGACAGGCATCACTGATGGGCACTGAAAGGCAGCACTCATATATGGCACTGACTGGCACTGATATGTGGTACTGAAAGGCAGCTCAGATGGGCACTGATCTGTGGCATTGATGTGTACTGGTAGGCACTGATAATGTGATACTGATGGGCACTGGCAGGTGGCATTGACAGGTGGCACTGATGGGGCTACACTGATCATCAGGGCCCTGATGATCAGTGTACATGTCCCCTCTGAGTAATGCCAAGAGGGGAGGAGACGAATGCCAATAACCGGCATTTCCTTATTTACACGCCATGAGCTGTGATTGGACACATGACAGAGCCAACGTGATCGGCTCTTTCCGTTGATTGATCCACTGTGTGAGGGACCGCTGCGTTCCAGGGGGCGTGCACGTGTGGTTACAGTGGGAGGACATCATTTGACATCCTCCAAGAACGAGAGAACCACCGTGCTCCCGTATTTTCCTTATATGGGGGCGAGAGGCGGTTAAAAATTATGATTTAAATCAAGCCTTTTCACTAGTGATTTAAATCTTGATTTATATCAAATCCACCCTGATTTGTTGTACTTAGGTCTTTGCTCATCATCCTGTATGCCCAGAAGTGCTAATTCAGGAGTGCACAGGAGGGACAGTTGCAGGCAAGTATTTACAAGGTTGAGGACCTCCCTCCCTGTGCCACCCTAGGGCATGACCAAAACATATGAAATTATGTACTCAGTGCCATGTGACACCTAGTACAGGCAGAGGACCTCTCTGGATAGATTCTGTGCAACCTCTGGGTGTGTAGTACACTCTGTGGAGAAATTTCAATTGGATTAATTTATCTCTAGCAGATATGACAAACCTGGAGCTATCTCGAAGCTGTCCTCCCAAGACTCCCTATCCAGAACTAGAATATCCACCCACCACTGCTCCTACAATCTGCCTATCTTAGGAGACCCCAGGTTACAACTTTCCCTGTTACAGATCACTATTCATCATTCAGATGTTTGAGTGTGATCTATGCTGAATTGTGATCTTACATGGGTTGAAGTTTTCAATGTTCATGAGACATTTACAAGCGGTTTACAGATGTCTTTCCATGTTGTTGTGCATATTGACTTGCCTACTGTCCTATGACTGTACCTTTTTTTTTTTATTGAAAATAAAGAATTAAAAAAAAAAATCCCAATTGCAAATACATCTCAGGAACAGGGATATACAATTTTCTCCTACTGTGTTTACTCCATTCTACACAAGTATAACAATCACACCCCAGAGGTCTTTTGTTATTGTGAGAAAAGCCCTAAAGCAATGTTGTACATTTTATGGGAAATTTATCGTTCGATATTTTGGTCTACAGTCAAGGATACCCTGCTAGCCACTCTTTTGGAGATGATCTAGCTGCTTATAGTCTCCCTCAACGTTCTTCCAACCTCTACTTATAAAAGTTCCATCGCAATACATCTGCTTAAAGCAGAGCTCTACCCAAAAGGGGAAGTTCCGCTTTAATTTCTGTCCCCCGCTCCCCATTAAGGATTGGCACCTTTGGGGAGCAGGTACCCAAATTTGACAGGTACTCGCTCCCACTTCCGCTGCGATCTCCTAAGGCGATCGGAAGCGAAAGATGTCCTCCCTCCCCGTAGTCTTCTGGGACACGTGACAGGTCCCAAAAGACTACGGGGCCATTCACAAAGTGCAGTGCTTCTCATGCGCAGTGGGCACCCAGCTGTGAAGCCGCACGCTGTCACAGCCGGGTGCCCACACTGAAGATGCCGGCGCCAGGGAGAGAAGACAGCAATTGAAACCAGTGGTGGTGACACCGCTGAACTGAGGGACAGGTAAGTGACTGTATTTTAAAAGTCAGCAGCTACAGCTTTTTTTTTTTCAGTTGGAACTCTGCTTTAATGCAGCAAAGATCTGTAGGCCCACTCTAAGGAAAAAAAACTGTAACTTTATGGCTGGAGAAAGTGCAGAAGATTATGAAAATGGAAGACCTGAATGCCTCACTTTTTAAAACTCTAAGGCCAAATTCAGGTCCACACATTCCTTGTGTTTACATTTCACTACCTTGGCCCATTTCAAGGTTCTCTGCGCCCCATTATAACTGGCTCTTTTTGCATCATACAGATGTGAACTAGCCATTTTTAAGGACCACTGGGCTGTTACTCTCATAATACCTTAACCTGGATGTTTCCCCTACCCCCCAACTATTTTTAGATTGTTCTTTCTTCCTTTTGACACATCCCCCTGGTAACCTCCCCCTGGTTTTCCCTAAGCTCCCTTATCTACTTACCTTATCAGAACATCCTGACTCTCCTGTTGGACGCTCAAAATGCAAATGTCATCTATGACATCCACTGTTATGTCTCTGTTTTGTGGTTTTACATCATTTACATCATTTTGTGGTTTTACATCATTCACAACCCTTTCATTTAACATGATATCTTTGTTTGTTAAAAATTATGAATCATGTGTATCATTTTGATGTGCAGAAAGAGATTTTTTACAATACCTTAAGGAGTTGTGTGCCATGTTTTTACCCTGTGTTTGCAATTTCTTAGCATATTTATATATCTTTCAAACTTTTTAATAAAGGAATACTGTGTGTGAATGTGAAAATAAAAGTCTTGTATTCTTGTCTTTAGGGAGATCAGTCACCTTTTGAAAGGTAGACTGGATTTACTTTGCATTAATTTTCTTTTTAACTTTCAGGACATTGTTTTGTACAGCTGCATGCCCACAAAGGAATCTTCCATTCTGAAAAGTGGAAGCCGAATGGCAGCACCCTATATCATCCACTTTCATCACATCTTTTAGTAAACTTTGAAAAATATGATCAGATCAGCTTTGATGAAGGATTGTTTTTTATTGGAGATGAAACAGGAGGATGTTTGCAAAAAGAAGAAGGTAAGGTTGGTGGAATGGTGACCGCTGACATGAAAATAGTTACCTTTATTTTCGTTTGCTTTTAAAAGTATTCTAGCTCCTTTTTCTACCCTAAGTAACAATCACTTGCTTTGTCAAGGACCGGCCTACACCTGTCTTCCATACATACTGTTTGCAATGGTTATGTTTGCTTCTGATGTACAGTAAGGTCCATAAATATTGGGACATCAACACAATTCTAACATTTTTGGCTCTATACACCACCACAATGGATTTGAAATGAAATGAACAAGATGTGCTTTAACTGCAGACTGTCAACTTTAATTTGAGGGTATTTACATCCAAATCAGGGGAACGGTGTAGGAATTATAACAGTTTGCATATGTGCCTCCCACTTGTTAAGGGACCAAAAGTAACGGGACAATTGGCTTCTCAGCTGTTCCATGGCCAGGTGTGTGTTATTCCCTCAATGAGCAGATAAAAGGTCCAGAGTTCATTTCAAGTGTGCTATATGCATTTGGAATCTGTTGCTGTCAACTCTCAAGATGAGATCCAAAGAGCTGTCACTATCAGTGAAGCAAGCCATCATTAGGCTGAAAAAACAAACCCATCAGAGAGATAGCAAAAACATTAGGCGTGGCCAAAACAACTGTTTGGAACATTCTTAAAAAGAAGGAACGGACCGGTGAGCTCAGCAACACCAAAAAAAACAGAAGACCACGGAAAACAACTGTGGTGGATGACCAAAGAATTCTTTCCCTGGTGAAGAAAACACCCTTCACAACAGTTGGCCAGATCAAGAACACTCTCCAGGAGGTAGGTGTATGTGTGTCAAAGTCAACAATCAAGAGAAGACTTCACCAGAGTGAATACAGAGGGTTCACCACAAGATGGAAACCATTGGTGAGCCTCAAAAACAGGTAGGCCAGATTAGAATTTGCCAAACGACATCTAAAAAGGCCTTCACAGTTCTGGAACAACATCCTATGGACAGATGAGACCAAGAGCAACTTGTACCAGAGTGATGGGAAGAGAAGTTTATGGAGAAGGAAAGGAACTGCTCATGATCCTAAGCATACCACCTCAGCAGTGAAGCATGGTGGTGGTAGTGTCATGGCGTGGGCATGTATGGCTGCCAATAGAACTGGTTCTCTTGTATTTATTGATGATGTGACTGCTGACAAAAGCAGCAGGATGAATTCTGAAGTGTTTCGGGCAATATTATCTGCTCATATTTGGCCAAATGCTTCAGAAATCATTGGACGCCGCTTCACAGTGCAGATGGACGATGACCCAAAGCATACTGCAAAAGCAACCAAAGAGTTTTTTAAGGGAAAGAAGTGGAATGTTATGCAATGGCCAAGTCAATCACCTGACCTGAATCCGATTGAGCATGCATTTCACTTGCTGAAGACAAAACTGAAGGGAAAATGCCCCAAGAACAAGCAGGAAGTGAAGACAGTTGCAGTAGAGGCCTGGCAGAGCATCACCAGGGATGAAACCCAGCGTCCGGTGATGTCTATGCGTTCCAGACTTCAGGCTGTAATTGACTGCAAAGGATTTACAACCAAGTATTAAAAAGTGAAAGTTTGATTTATGATTATTCCCATTACTTTTGGTCCCTTAACAAGTGGGAGGCACGTATGCAAACTGTTGTAATTCCTACACTGTTCACCTGATTTGGATGTAAATACCCTCAAATTAAAGCTGACAGTCTGCAGTTAAAGTGCATCTTGTTAGTTTCATTTCAAATCCATTGTGGTGGTGTATAGAGCTAAAAATGTTAGAATTGTGTCAATGTCCCAATATTTATGGACCTGACAGTATGCTTTTCTGCAGTGGAAGACTTTTCAGAGGCATTTGACAGGTGGTGTGGGGGCAATATATCTCCTCCTCATTGCCTGTTTTAATCCTGTACATTTTACACCACTGGGTGCATCACATGCAGTTGCAGGGCAGTTGAGGCATGGCCCGATTCATGCGAATAGGTTGCCTTCAGCAGTGGTATTGCCCACCAAATGTGATGGGGGGTATAGTTTTTGCTGCGGCATGTGTACACCCTAGTTCCTGCTGCTTTTGCATCATAAAAATGCAGCTCAGCCATCTGTTTTTGTGACCACCCTACCTCAAGTATCAAGTGAATGCAAAACTTTTTTTTAATTTGGATTGAGTAAGGTAGAGTATAACCCCTGTCAATATTATTTTTATTATCATAATTTTTGCCATCTGTGTCCCATTGCGGAGATTTCCCTTCACTTCCTGTCCCATAACTAAAACCGTGAAAGGAGATTGCTACAAAATGTGGGAATGGGCAACTTTTTTTTTTTTTTTAAAGGTTACCAGCTTAGAGCTACAGAGGAGGTCTGGTACTAGAATTATTGTTCTTTTTCTGAAATTCACAACAACACCTCACTTTTGTGGTGTGATCGGCGTTTACATATGCATGCAATGCGTTTGCATTTGGGAAGTGGGCACTTAAATTTTTTTTAATTCATTTTATCTAACCTTATGTCCTTTTTTATAAATACTTTCTTTAATCCGGCCAAATACAGGGTGAATAATACATCTTACTACAATCCAATATTTAGTCCAACTCTCCTTAACCACTTGCCTACCAGGCACTTATACCCCCTTATTTACCAGGCCAATTTTCAGCTTTCAGCGCTGCCGCACTTTGATTGACAATTGCGCGGTCATGCAACAATGTACCCATATGAAATTTTGATCATTTTTTTCTCACAAATAGAGCTTTCTTTTGGTGGTATTTAATCGCCACTGGGCGCTTTACTTTTTGCGCTATAAATTAAAAAAGGGCACAAAATTTGAAAAAGAAAAAAAAAAGTTTCTTTGTTTCTATTATAAAATTTTTCAAACAGGTATTTTTTCTCCTTCACTGATGTGCGTTGATGAGGCGGCACTGATGGGCACTGTTAGGCGGCACTGATGGGCACTGATAGGCAGCACTAAAGGGCACTGATAGGCAGCACTAATGAGGTGTCACGGATAGGCGGCACTAATATGCAGCACTGATAGGCGGCACTGATAGGTGACACTGATGATGGGTACTGATAGACGGCACTGACTGGCATCACTGCTGGGCACTGACTGGCGGCACTCACTGGCACAACCCCTGGGCACTGACTGGTGGCACTGACTGGCAGCACTGCTGGGCTGCACTGGTGGGTGGCACTGGTGGGCAGCACTGGGTGGGTGGCACTGGTGGGCACAGGTGGGTGGGCACAGGTGGGTGGCACTGCAGAGTGGCACAGGTGGGTGGCACTGCAGAGTGGCACAGGTGGGTGCACTGCTGGGCACAGGTGGGTGATCTGCTGGGCACAGGTGGGCGGAGCTAGTGGGCGCACTGCTGGGCACAGGTGGGCGGAACTTGCGGGTGGCATTGCTGGGCACCGATCATCAGGGCACTGATCATCAGTGTCCTGATGATCAGTGCCGATCCCCGCTCTGACAACTGCCGGTTCTCGGCAGTACTTTCCTCACGATCTGACAGCGTGAGGAAAGTGCAGCCGAGAACGGCACTTGCATTTCCCTGTGATCAGCGTGTCATTGGACACCGCTGATCACGTGGTAAATGGCCGGTATGATTGGCCTTTTACCACATCACGTGATCAGCTGTGTCCGTAGGACACAGCGATCACGGAGATCGCCGGTGTGCGCGCCCCCTGGGGCGCACAGGAGAGCGCGTTCTGGGAGGACGTCATATGACGTCCACTCAGAACTGGCCGGCCGCAGTTTAGCCGTCATTCGGCTCTATCTGCGGTCGGCAGCTAGTTAAGTCAATAGACAATTACTGTCACCATAATTTGAAAAAAAAAAAACAAAACGTGCAACAAACAAACAAAAAAAAGAAACAAAAGAGAAAACATCAGATATGTAATCATGTATACACTAATTCGCCATGATATTAAGTTCCACACACTGTTGGTCAGTTTTTTAACAATAAACCAGTAGTTGGTAATCAAAGAAAAAGAAAAAAAAAAAAAGGGGAGATAGGAGGAAGGGAGGCTGGAAAGTGGTGGAAAGAATGGGACAAATTGAGAGATGGGGTGGGGCAGGGAGGACCCAGCTCTACCCTCCAAAGATAACATCCTTCGTGGCTTTTGAGGCCTACTCATTGAGAGTCTAAATATACCTGCCAGGGCATCCAAATCTCACAGTGTTTCTTGGGTGGGTTCTTAATGAACGTTGTTAACTGTTCCATGTTGGATGTAAGATACCCTATTATGCCAATGTTCGAATGTAGGCGGAGTAATTTGTTTCCACAGGGCTGGTATACATGCTTTTGCAGCATTCAGAAGATGTTTTAGGAGTGAATGTTTATAAAGTTTGATAGATAATCATGTATCATGCAAGAGATATGTGGCTGGCGAGTGTGTGCAAGAGATCATTTAGTAGGATTTCTAATGGAAGATTTAACTTCTGACCAAATAATATTAATCATTGGACAGTCTTAAAGATGTGAAAAAGGGAAGCTTCTGCTTTGACAGCGCCAGCATAGGAGATACACTTGAGTTGATCTTATGTAAAAGTTGTGGCTTTTTTTCCACCTGTTGAGAATTTTATAACCATTTTCTTGTTATGTGTTTTCCAGCAAAGCTTTATTAGCAAAAAATAAAATTGTAGCTTTTTGGGTGGAGGAGAACGTAATATTCAAATCTTGTTCCCATTTTGTCAAGAAGCCGGGTCCCGTTGATGGTCTCTGGCTATTAACAAGGAGTAGGATTGCGATAGGGCATGTCTAATTGGCACTGTTCTATCGCAAATCCTCTCAAATAATGCTAGAGACCGAACAATTTGATATTCTGGTGGAAGGGGTCTCAAGCAGGAACTTAATTGAAAACAAGGGAAAAAAAAATCCAAGTCTGAACCAAGCATAGTTTGTATGCCTGCAATGGGTATAGGTTTATTTTCAAATGAAAGATGGCATTTTCAAAATATCCCTCTGGCATAGAGATTGTAGAACTGTAAATCAGTAGAACTATGTGATAATAAAAATGTGAATTGAGAATCAGCAGAAGCGGACCAGGATGAGGCGAAAGAGGTCTTGAAAATTGATTTAACGGTATAAACGTTGGTCCTAACAAGGGGGTGGGTTGTAATATGTCTGCTGATAGAGGAGGCAGGATACTCCCAGATAATTCCTTCCAAAAGGGCAGTAATTGCATCCTGTTCTAGTTCTAGCCATGTTTAGTCAGTCAGCAGCATAATATTTTAATAGGTCTGGAAACCCAATGGCAGCGCTTGATTGGGAAAGAGTTAAAGTTGCTCTGCTGATTTCTGGCCCTCCTTTTTCCTCCTTAGAGGTAATGCAGAAATTGGGCCCTTAGATTTTCAGAAACCTCTGCAGTAAAGACACCAGTAGAGTTTGTAATAAAAAAAAAAAGGAGCAGTTATAGAATATTCATTTTCAGGACACTATTTCGTCCCAACCATGTAAGGGCTACTTAACCATTTCAATACCGTGCAATTTTACACCTTCCTGCCCAGGCCATTTTTCAGGTTTCAGCGCTCTACACTTTGAATGACAATTGGCGGTCATACAACATTGTACCCAAACATGTACCCAAACCCAAACTAAAATTTTATCATTTTCTTCACACAACTAGAGCTTTCTTTTGGTGGTATTTAATCACCGCTGGTGTTTTTATTTTTTGCTAAATTAACAAAAAAAAAACAACATTTTTGAAAAAAAACATTTTGTTTCTGTTATAAAAGTTTAGAAATAAATAATTGTTCTTCATAAATTTAGAGATGTATTCTGCTACATGTCTTTGGTGAAAATAACCCAAATTAGGATGTATTTTTTAGTTTGTAGGAAAGTTATAGAGTTCACAAACTATGGTATAGATCTGAATATTGATCAATCCTGAAGTACTGACGGCCAATCTAAATTTCTTGAGGTCCAAGAATGTCAGAATAGTACAGATATCCCCCAAATGACCCCTTTTTGCAGAGTAGACAGTCCGATACTTCATAAGATTATGGCGAGTTTTTTGAAGTTGTATTTTTTTTTGTCATAATTTTTTTGGAAAATTAAAAAATTAAAAAAACTATTTTTTTTTTTTTTTTTACATACTGTCACCAGTGCAGTACAGCGTCATCATATAACTGGCATGGCGGTGAACAGGGACACTGACTGGTGACAGTATGATTTTAATTTTTTATTACATTTTTTTATTTATTTTTAAGATTTTTTTTTTCATATTTTACTATGACCAAAGTAGTACATAGTAACACTGTACTACTTTGGGGAAGTGATCAGTTTTTTTTTTTTTTTTGTTTTTTTTTACACAATTTGCTTATAGCAAAGAATTACTTTTGCTATAAGCAAGCACTTAGCTGAATGAAATCGATTTATTCAGTTTTTTTTTTTTTTTTTTTTTTGTGCTTAGCTGTGATTTGGTCACAGCTAATCACATGACATGTGCATGTGATTAGCTGTGACCATTCACAGCTAGGCACTATTATACAATGGATGGCATCATGAATGAAGCCATCCATTGTATACAACTGTCATGTGACCTGCTGTGATTGGTCACAGCAGTCACATGGTACCAGCAACGGGAGCCGGTACTCGGATCTGTCATCGGCCGTGTCCGTGGTGCACGGCCGGTGACAGATAACTGCTGCGCCGCTCTGCATTAGCGCAAACGGCGCATTGCAGAGCACGCCAAATTGCACCCGGAATGCAGAACTGTTTTGAAGCCGCCAAACGGCCATGGCCGGGCGGCTAATGGTTAATTCCAGTTTCGTAGATCTGCTTTAACCTTTTTAGCCAAAGTGAAAAAATTCAATTAAAAACATGTTTTAAGTTAGCAGGAATCAGTGTGCCCAAATATTTAATATGTGAAGACCACTTTAAAAGTAAATTGTCGTAGTCTCTGTAGTTGTTGAAAGAATAACATAATATTATTAACTGTTTGTTTTCTTTAAACCTTTTTTTTTTTCTTATTAGGCCATGTCATTCATTGTTGGAGATTTGATGACCAAGAGAAGACACTTTTCATCGCAATGTCATATTTGTTTACAAATTTTTGTGTAAGTAAAGAATTAATATATTTTTGTTAAAATTTTCCTATATAGAAAGCTTTTCTATTAAATTTAATCTTTTTCTTGCAGGTATTTCAAGAAATTGTCAATCGGCTAAGTGATGCATGAAACCATTTGCCTTTTGCAGATAAATATTGCAGTACACAAGCTCAGTTTTATGCTTTCTAATCTAATGCCGCTGATGTATGCAGACAAGTTACACTTTTTACAGCAACAGTTGCAAAACTATGCATTATTTTTAAATATCACAATCTTTCGACCTTCTAGACAATCTTATCCACATTGTTCATTTTTAAACGTTATTGATTAAGTGTTAAAGGTTTTGAAAATCCATTCCAAATTTAAAGTGAGATGACTAGGTACTGGATAAGTGTGAATACTCTGATTCATGCAAGTTGTAGGCATTTGGGGCTCATATAAGCTTGTACCAACAGCAAATTTCTTTGACTATATAAACCAACAGGGTTCAAACCTCTGCATTCTGAGACTGAAAAGAAACAAAGATCTTAACTGTTTACTATAGGCAATAAAAGATTGTTTGGTTGGCTTACTTTACTTCTTTGATTGTATGCTTGTATGTTCAGTGTTTTTTTTTCTCCTTATGTTGTGACCACTTTCTTTTCTTTTGCCTATTGTCTTTTATTTGTATTTGTTTTTATTAAAAAAATAAGAATATAAACTGCTTGCATGTTTTTCAGTACTGGCTAAATAGATAAGAGCATAACTATACCTTCCCTGTACAGTAAAATACAAGCCACCAATGTTGTCACCTTATCAGTGGTTATTTGTCAGTCATTAATCTATAGATTAATTTGTATTATCTGTATTATCACAAGGGCCAGATAAAAGCAAGCAAAGGGCCGCAGTTTGGAGACCACTGCTCTAGGGTGTTTGATTTCAGAAAATCTATAATGTTTTGGGGGTTTATGCAGTCTTCAGCCTAAATAATTTTTTAAACATGTAGGAAAAAATGGCTCTGGCAGCAAAAAGGTTAAAGGGGCGTAAACGTACACTTAGCCTCAAACAATTTCATGAAAAATAAATGTGAGGTATCTCTGCAAATGTCACATTGAGAGCAATAATTCTAGCACTAGACCTTCTATGTAAATCTAAAGTGGTATCCAGTAAAGGCTTTTAAAGCATCGCCTATGGATAATAAATTTATGTAATTTGTCACTGTTGCACAGGCGTGCACAATTTTAAAATGTGACATGTTTGTTATGTATTTACTCGGTGTAACATCTTTTATATTTTACCAAACAATTGGATATTATATTGTGTTTTTGTGCATTAAACTTCATTAACCACTTGCCCTCCTGAGGATTTACCCCCCTCCCTGACCAGGCCATTTTTTGCATTTTGGCGCTGATTACTTTAACTGACAATTGCGTGGTCATGCAACGCTGCACCCAAATGAAATTTATTTCCTTTTTTAACCTACAAATTTAGCTTTCTTTCAGTGGTATCTGATTGCCTGTGCAGTTTTTATTTTTTGTGCTATAAATAAAAAGAAGAGCGACAATTTTGAGAAAAAAAAAAAACAATATTTGTGACTTTTTGCTATTAAACATGTCCAGTAAAAAAAAATGTTAAAATTAAAATGTCATCATAAATTTAGGCCAAAATGTATTCTGCTACATGTCTTTGCTAAAAAAAAAATCCCATTACGTGTAAATTAATTGGTTTACGTGAAAGTTATAGCGTTTACAAATGGCGGTATAGATACTGGTATTTTTTTTTTTTTTTTTAATAATAATAATGGTGGTGATCAGCGACCTTATAGCGGGACTGTGGCGGGCATTCTGACACTGGGGGGAACTGACTTGGTGTCACTGACATCCCCAGTGACACCAATACAATGATCAGTGCTAAAAAAAAAAAAAAAAAAAAAAGCACTGACACTGTACTAATGGCACTGGGCAGGAATGGGCTTAACAAGAGGGGTGATCAAAGAGTTAACTGTGTGCTGGGGGGTGGTTGTGTTGGTGCTTCACTGTAAACACACGGCTCTGGATTGCTGTGCTGTGTACAGCCATCAAGAGCAGTGTGACCGAGCCGACAGGGAGGAGCACTGTTAGTAAACAAAGCAGCCCTCCTCCCCGTTGGAGATCCTTGGTAATCTCCGTTCACCGGCGGGTAATCACTGGCCAGGACCAGGTGATTGACAGCTGCAGCCGCAAATGGTGGCGCAGGTAGGGCACGCACGCCCTCTACCCTGAAATGCAATATGCAGTATATCTGCTACAGGGCAGCGGGGATGTTGGTAAAGTGTATTTTTTTCCCCAAAAAAAAAAAATGCATTTGGAAAACTGTGGCACAAATACCGTGTGACATAACAAAAAAAATTGTAACACCCACCATTTTATTCTCTAGGGACTCTGCTTTAAAAAAAATATATAATGTTTGGGGGTTCTAAGTAATTTTATTGCAAACAATACCGATTTTTACATGTAAACAAAAAAGTGTCAGAAAAGGCCTGGTCTTAACCACTTCCCCACCGGCCTATAGCAGAAGTACTGCTACAGGGTGGAAGGGCTGCGCAAAGTCATGTAGTCAGAGTCAGAATGCCCACCGCAGTCGCTGATCGCCGCCATTACTAGTATATAAAAAAAAAAGGTCCAGTATATATACCACCATTTGTAGGCACTATAACTTTCACTTAAACCAATTATTATACACTTATGGGGATTTTGTTTTAGCAAAGACGTAGCAGAATTAATTTTGGCCTAAATTTGTGAAGACATTTTTATTTTTAAAATTTTTTTTACTGGATATGTTTTATAGGAAAAAGTCAAAAATATTGGGGAGGGGGGGGGGGGGGGTTTCAAAATGATCGGTCTTTTTTTGTTTATAGCGCAGAAAGAAAAAAAAAAAGCACAGGTGATTAAATACCACCGAAAGACAGTTCTAATTGTGAGAAAAAAAAATGACAAATGTCATTTATGTACAGCGTTACATGACAGCGCAATTCTCAGTTAAAGCAACGCAGCGACGTGTTGCAAAAAATGGCCTGGTCAGGAAGGGGGGATAAGCGCTCTGGAGGGTAAGCCGGTTAAAGTGCTAGATACCACAAATTTGATAAATAAGTGAGGTAAATAATGCAAATTTGGTAAATGTGTGGATAAATACCGTAAATTCAGTAAATATGTTTAGTAAATGCTGCAAATTCATTAAATACTGCAAATTTGGTAAATATGTAAGGTAAATACAGCAAATTTGGCAAATCTATGAAATACTGAAAATTCAGTAATTATGAGGTAAATACCACAAATTTGGTAAATATGTGAGGTAAATACCACAAATTTGGTAAATATATGAAGTAAATACCACAAATTTGGTAAATATGTGAGGTAAATACCAAAAATTCTGTAATTATGTGAGATACTGCAAATCTGGTAAACATGTAAGGTAGATACTACAGATTCTCTAATTATGTGAAATATATACTGCTATTGTGGTAACTGTATGATGTAAATACTACAAATTTGGTAAATATGTGAGGTAAATGTTGCAAATTCTGCAAATATGTGAGGTGAATACGGCAAAAAAAAAAATGAAGGTAAATCATTACAGTAAATTCACAAAACACACAAGTCTGTTATTTATCTCATGGTGTAGGCAGTTGATATTACAGGAATGCAGAAGATTGAGGGGAACTCTGAACTGAAAAGGAGGATAAAATATAAAGACAATTTTTGTTTTTTTTTATATAATTTTGTTCTGTTTTGGATAGCATACAGACAGGGGTGTTTTAGGAAATCAGTGGGCCCATGTGCAAGACCATAAGTTGGACCCCATTGTCCAAAAATAAAAAAAAAATGTGGCGTGCTTATTGCACTGTGGGCAAAAGTGTGGTATGGTATTATTGTTGCAGGGTTATTGCTAGGATTGTAAAAAAACCTAGGGTACCTTTTTAAGCATGCTAAGTAAAGCAGTATAAGTGGCAAAGAGTGGGCGTGGCCAAATTGTGTTAACAGTAGGAGAGTTTTTAACATGGCTTGGTTAAATAAAATAAAAGCTTTCTTGTATTCATGAAATATGTTTAGGTTGCTGAGCCACAAGTAACAGTCTCAAACATGTATACACAATAATTAAAAAAAATAATAATAATAAAACTCCTTAATTTCAAATAATTTTGTGTACCTGAAAATTCTGAGCCTACCTTAAAGAAGAAGTTAGTCAGGGACTGCTTAAAGTTGAACTTAACTCTGTCAACATTGACTATTTTGAATCCTTATGCTGCTAGTATTGGTAAATACACTCAAAAAAATACCTGGACGCTGCAGAGGTTGCACAGGCAGTCCAATTCCTCTAGGATGGCACATTACATTAATACGAGCCATTGCCAGAAGGTTTGCTGTATCTCCCAGCACAGTCTCAAGAGCATGAAGGAGATTCCAGAAGACAGGCAGTTACTCTAGGAGAGCTGGACAGGGCCGTAGAAAGTCCTTAACCCATCAGCAGGACCGGTATCTGCTCCTTTGTGCAAGGAGGAACAGGATGAGCACTGCCAGAGCCCTACAAAATGACCTCCAGCAGGCCACTGGTGTGAATGTCTCTGACCAAACAATCATGAAGAAACTTAATGAGGGTGGCCTGAGGGCCCGACATCCTCTAGTGGGCCCTTTGCTCACTGCCTGGCACCATAGAGCTTGATTGGCATTTGCCATTGAACACCAGAATTGGCAGGTCCACCACTGGCGCCCTGTGCTTTTCACAGATGAGAGCAGGTTCACTCTGAGCACATGTGACAGATATGAAAGGGTCTGGAGAAGCCGTGGAGAACTTTATGCTGCCTGTAACATCGTTCAGTATGATCGTTTTGGTGGTGGGTCAGTGATGGTCTGGGGAGGCATGTCCATGAAAGGATGCACAGATCTCTACAGGCTAGACAATGGCACCCTGACTGCCATTAGGTATCGGGATGAAATCCTTGGACCCATTGTCAGTTCCTACACTGGTGCAGTGGGTCCTGGGTTCCTCCTGGTGCACAACAATGCCGGCCTCATGTGGTGAGAGTATGCAGCTGAATAGCCCCACACTCGCCTGACCTGAATCCAATAGGATACCTCTGGGATATCATGTTTAAGTCCATCTGCTGCTACCAG